CGGCATCGGCCCTATTGGGCCCCATCTGTGGTGGTCTGATGGCTCTTTGAGGCGCGCGCGGAACGCGACGCGCCGTACGCTCGGGTCTGTTTCTGGTCGGACGGGGAGCCACCCATGCTCGCCGTCCGCAGGCCCGCGCTTACGGTGGCCGGAGATCGTCCCGCGATCCCCGACGCCCGGTGTGTCCTTCGCGATGGCTGGGTCGCGAGGAGGCAGCGCTTCGCTGCCTCACGCGTCCCGCCTCCTCCTTAGCTAGCATGACTGCTTCGCAAAAGGAGGAGACGGCATCCCAGTCCCCCTCGCTCCGCATCATGGCCTGCACTAGGCCCGGACGCGAGAGGTCGCCATCGCCGATCACTTCCCTGAGGGCACGGCGGTGCCAGCCCACGCAGGGCATTCCGCTACGGTGTGTTCCACCGTGTCCTCAGGGCGGTCCTCGCAGTGATGACACCCGGGCGTTTCCTCCCGCCCCATCAGACACAGGTACCTCCCGAAACTTCCATGTCCGGTGAGGACCTGCGTCAGGCGGTAGGTGAGGACGCCGTAGCGTCTCTCAAGCCACTCCTCAAAGAGGGGACTTACCGCTGCAATGGCAGCGAGCCCAGCCCTCGGGGTTGCGACAGTCGTTGCTGCCATTCCGCCATGAGATCGCGCCGGAGCTCATCCCGCCACGCACTTATCTGGCGCGGCAGCGGAGTTTCGCCCCGGCGACGTGCCTCCGCGCGCATGTTATACACGCGCGCGAGCACCTTCGCCTCCAGATCCCACGGCGGTAATCCGGCAAGGAGGTTCGCCGACTCCCCAGCGATCGTGCGGTATCCGCGGATCATTCGGATCGCCATGACCCTCTGTGACTTGAGCAGCGTCCGAGCAGGACGCCGCAACAAGTTCGGCGCCCAAACAGGGGCGCCGTAGAGGGCCATGGACCGCACGACCCCGGCGTATAACCTCCGGCAGGAGGCGTTTGGCCCCCCGAGGTTGGGGAGGATGCGTTTGAACGCAGCCCCCGTCCTCTCCAACTTTGGAGCCAAACGTCGGAAATGCTCTATGAAGTTCCACCGACTGTCGAGGACGAGTCCTAGGTACTTCATCGCCGTCTCGACGCCGATGGTAACCCCTCCCGCCGTTATTTGGGACCCACCCGGAGGTGGCGCGTTCCCGCGGCCATGAAAACACATGGCCTCGGACTTGTGGAGCGCCACCTCGAGTCCCAACTGCCGGATTCTTTCAACGACTGTCGCAACCGCTGTCGCCATTAAGTCGGCCGCCGCCTGGTGCGACCTCCCGTGCGCTAGCACCAGCGTGTCGTCGGCGTAGCATATTGTGCTAACGCCGTTCGGGAGGTCGGTGCGCAGCACCCAGTCATAGCCGATGTTCCACAGGAGCGGCCCCAGAACCGAACCCTGTGGAACACCGCGTGACATCTCTCGCCGGTTCCACTCGCCCCGGTGACCGGGGTAGCTGACGGACCTGTCCGTCAGGTAAGCCTCGATTACACGACGGAGGTAGGTAGGCACCCGATGATATCGGAGTGCCTCCAAGATGCAGCTCCAGGGCAGGGAGTTGAAGGCGTTGGCGATGTCCAGAGACACCGCCACTACGACCTTACCCCTGGACACTGCAGTCCCCGTCGTGAGGTCTCTAACGCGCATGATGGCGTCCACCGTGGAGCGCCCTCTGCGGAAGCCGAACTGGCCGTCCGACAAGTCCGGCCCAATGTCCGTCAGGTGCGCGACGAGGCGGTTCGAAATGATTCTTTCGAAGACTTTCCCCACCTCGTCGAGCAGCACTATGGGCCGGTACGCGGACGGAGAGTCCGCAGGGCGCCCCGTCTTCCGCACGAGGACCAGTTTGCCCGCTTTCCAGAGAAGCGGGAACTGGCCTCTCTCCAGACATGCGCTGTAGAGACCAATCAATCGAGGCCCGAGAGCCTCTGAGGCCAGGACCCATGCCTTGCCATGCAGGCCGTCGGGTCCTGGGGCGGTGTTCTTGGCGCCCATCCGGCGCACCGCCGCTCTCAATTCTGCCTCGGTCACCTCTGGGACGATGTCATCGTCGTCGTCGCTGTAGCCCGCGTCGGGCACCGCAGGGGGCGGAGTCATATACGGAGGGGTGAAGCCCCTCCACAGTCGGGGGAACAGGGCGCCAAAGACACACATTTAGGTATGTATTTTTCCAAATAATATTTTAAATTCTCTCTAGCAGCTTAAAGTTAGCTTTATGTTGTATAGGTACACAATTATTCATATTAATATTTTAATTATCATCATATTTGTATCACTGTATCATGGTATTATTCATTTGTTTGTCTTTTATTTATGTTTAAACCCATCTCTCTAATGACTGTGAAATTAAATTTCCATTTAACGTAAATTAATTATTGAAATAAATTATAAGGATTTGTTTCATTGGAATTAATTAACACACTGATTAACGTGGTCAATTGATAATAAAATAAAATTACGTACGTACTACCCATTACTTGTGACAATAAAGTACAATTAATGAATTTTCTCCTTTCAATAAATTATATTGATTAAAACTTATACTGTTAGCCAGAGTAACATTAATGTCATAAGATCGGCATAGTTATATTACAAAGTCCCGAAGTCCCGTGATTTGGTGGGCGAGTAAATGCTAAACCTATTTACACTCTGTTTTATATTTGTAAGTTTTGTAAAATGAAACACCCAAACTAATTATTTACCCTACCTAGAAGTTGCATTGATCCTTTACATGTCAGTTGTATTTGAGACCTTTTTAGTATATTTTTATTTTATTTACGGTTCATGCTTAATGCCGCAGGCATTTTCTCCCAGTCTGACATTATTCTGGAAATTGATTTTATGTAGTTTTAAATTATGCAGTATAGTCCTATTAGTCTTATGCAGGATAGTCATATTTATGGCCTCATATACTATTTGACGTGCTTCATTGTAGACCGCATCATCGCTTACCACCAGGCGAGATAGTGGCCAAACGTCGACCCATCAAATATATAAAAAAAAGTTTCTTGTCACTATAAAGAACATTAACACAAAGTTGTATTTGTTACGCACGCTAGAACCGCTCAACTAACTTTGATGAAATCTGCTATTTTGTTTTGATCGTGGGTACTTTTTCAATCTGGTCAAAACCGTGGACTAGTGTTAGTATCTAAAATCCTTACCTTGCCCCACATTAGGATTTTCTCCTGTGTCGTGGGTGCGTTTACAAACATACAAGTTTACATACACAGTGACAGACAGAACCGAAACAACAATTTGTGGATCACACAGTGTTGTTCCGTGCGAGAATCGAACCCGTGACACGTTGCACGGCAGCCGGTTGCCCAGCCACCGCACCAACCGTGCAGTCAATCTCTTTCCCTTATTCCATTATTATCCCTTAAAAAAGGTAAGTATCTACTAGAGACATAATATTTATGAGTTAACACAGGATAACTCATAAGTTATAATTGAACTGAAAATACAGGTGTTTAGTTAAATAAACATTTTCTTCGATAGTTTCAGCCTTTCATCGATTGTTTTCCAAATATAAACTAAACTTGATATATTCTCATGGTATAATCTGAACGTTGTTTAAAAGAAAACCTTGTTTCCCATAAACAAAGTAGTCTTTTAAATAACATAACAACGGAAATATTTTGTGAACATACGAGTGAAATTGTATCATTTCATTTATATTTTACAGAGTGCTTGCTATAAACCTAATATTTTAAGTCGGAAAGACGTGTGTTGAATTGAAAAATGGGAAAACTTCTTCGCAACACTATGTGGGCGTTAAATAGTGCATATTGCAATAGTGTATTAAGAATACCAACTATTTATTTTTAATATAGAAACATGGCCGTGTTAAACAGAATTAAGAAAGGCCGTTGGATGGCTGTTGGATGGAGGTTTTAATTCAAGTTCATAAAACTGTGCATTTGCTGGACATTTTAAAAATTAAACACCAAATTGAGAGTCATATTTAAAATCAGTAAGTTGATATCTTCAGACACAAAATTGTAAGCTCATAATACACTTGACGTTATTTACGTCAAACTTGTCAATATTTTCTTTCATAATACCCCTTAAAATATTTTAAAAGTGTTTTAAGCATGGTATGCCGTCGCGATGGTGGCGCATTATCGCCTTTATACTCTACCGATCGATAAAACATATCAAGTTACCGGACTCAATACTTTTAAAACGTCCACGTCTTAACTTATAACTGACGTATGTGATCGTTATGTTTTTATTGGATTTAGTTCAATTTTTCGTTAAAAATTTGGAGATTTTAAAGCTTCGTGACGTCATTGTTTGGGTTTGCCAGTTAGCCTGTCGTTCTTTGAATGGATTGGTGTAAAAATGAAGCATTTTTAACCAATTTCAATGTACTATAACATACTTTTGATCGATCGAAGCATATATTAGACTTTACAGGACAATCGACGTAACATTAAGATTTTTATAATCAAATAAATTAATTTGAATGCCAATGTCAAAATTTACACGTGCAGCAGTACTCTTAACGATATTCTTAATTTTCGAAGGCGAGTTTTCTAAATTAAAATATTTTTTTGTTTACTAACGTGTTATAAAAATAATCTAACCTATAATTAATATTTTATTTATGGACTTATTACATCCGTAGACGTAAACATTTTTTTTTTATTTCAACATAAAGCTACATTGGCGTAGGTATTGTATAGTCGACGTCAATCCAGAAATGACCTTGACCACGTTCTTATTTTGTATGGCATAAGGGCTGTAATCGTAACACATCAGAAACAAGCTTTTTGTTTAGCCATAACTTTAAGATCTCTGTCATCGTTTGGTCATAAATTTACGAATATTTCGACCGGTTTTGCGAGTTATAGCTCTTTCCGCGATAGTTATTTAATAATAAATTGAATAATAAGTAGGTAAATATAATGGGCCTTGATTCAGCAGGATTACTGAATTTACATCAGTACTGATCTTGACTTCAATAGTGGTTCACGACTTTTGGACGCAATGTTTGAAAAAACGTTTTTGTTTTCTTTAGTTTTAATTGTTGCTTTTTTAGATTATAGTTCTGCTAAAGTCGCACGTGAGTTATTTAAATATTATTTAGATTTTTACTTGTTTGTAAATCACCGTCGCCTTATCGATTCCTTTCATGTTTTCGTAATTTTTAACTGAACTTTATATGAATTTTAAGTTTTGTCTCAAGGTTAGAAGACGAGTTTTATATTTTGTTTTTATATTCCAGCCGATTACATCAAAATATGTCCCGGTCTAAAGTCAGATTGCTTAAAGAAAGTGGTACAAGAAACTTTACCGCTATTCGCAAAGGGTATTCCTGAACTGGGAGTTGCACCAATTGATCCGTTGAAACAAGAAGAACTTAAGCTGCTTCTGCCTGGAGGATTCAAAGTGGAATTCCGCAATGGCACTGCTACTGGACTGAAAAAGTGCACCATTGATTCGGTAGTGTAAGTAGCCACTTTGTTAATATTTCATAATATTTTGAGTAACATAAAACATACTGTATTCATATTTAATACGCAAAATTTTGTTTTTTACAAGATTACATTTTATATCATCTCAAAGCAACCATGTCCATATTTCTGTAATGGAACATAGATCTACCAGTCTAGTCAGTCTAGATACGATAGGATGTCATATTTTTATCAATTTGTTTTCCATTACATTTCACTATTATCAATTTTACCTATGAAATTAACGAACTATGGTTTCAAAACATTGATCGAGGTTATTTTTTAATTCCAGATACCGAAACTCTGAAGCAAATATGAAAATGCACTGTGATTTAAGTGTTAAAGGAAAGTACAAGGCTAGCGGAAGAATATTGATTGTATCAATCAACGGTGATGGTGATGCCAAAATTAAAATCAGTAAGTTTTTTTTCGATAGTACTTTGCATTGAGAAGATGAGGAGAATAAAGGGTACGATGGGGCTGACATATCTGTGATAAAAGCCCCTAAAAACTTTGTAAGAATAAAAAAAAAGATGAGGAGAAATGGGTCGATGATTTATATAAATAAGTAGTTGAAGAAATGAAGAATCTATTAACGAAGAACGAATGAAGAATGAAGATTCTTTCCTACCTATCACCTAATGATAAGAGATGAAAAAATACATTTATACCCGAATAATGGTACACAGCTAACTAGTCTGTCAATTGTGGACATTATGAATCTCTCTCTAATATCGAGAAAGCCCACAGCACAACAGTTTATACATGAACAGGAAAAAGAAGTACAATTTAGTTTCAGTACAGTAAAAGTTTAACTGTATAAGCAATTTTTTGTTCATATATATTTCATTGAAAATTTAAACGCAAAACATGAAACAGAACAGATGTTTTTTTTTTGTATTTTGTAAATTAAACTAAACATTTGTAATTATTTCATTTCTACGATCTAAATTTTAAATGCAAAACATGAAACAGATCAAATGTTTATTTTTTGTATTTTGTAAATTAAACTTACCAATTTTAATTATTTTATTTTCACGATCTAATATTTAAACGCAAAACATGAAACAGAACAGAAGTTATTTTTGTATTTAGTAAATTAAACTAACCAATTTTAATTATTTACAGAAAATGTTGCATTGGATGCCAAAATTAAGTTCCAAGACGTTACTAGGAATGGAGTGGTATACCATGAAGTGAAGACCCTAAAGATTGACCAGAACTACGGAGACAAGATAACTTTCAGTCTCACTAATTTGTTCGAAGGAAACCCTCAACTGAGTAAGTATAATATTATTTCTGTAATACACTTCAAATTATATTATTTCTATTTTAAGTTTATTTTAAAGTTCCTAAAAATAGGGAGATAATATGACACATACCGAGTTATAAAAAATTAAAATCTTAATAAAAAATATAATAGATTAATTAAGCTTCATACTATATTATTATATTTCCATTTCCATATAACAATAAAAAATAAAAAAAAGCGTTAAAAGGAATATAATGAATTTTTTGTTAATTAAAAACCACAAAAAATATATCATTTGTAAACGCTGATTTATTAAAAAGTAGCATTTTCTTAGCTAACAATAGGTTATAATTTAAAACGAAATGTAAGACACATTTTGTTGAGAAATAATACCTAATAATACAGCAGATATTTATCTGGAGTTTTTATGACAATAACCAACTTTTATTTTTATAAATGTTAGGTACCTATATATAAAATTCAGTATTAATTGCAATATTATTAGTGGTAGCTCTAACTTTGTTTAATTGCATGTCCTTCTTATATAAAATGTCAAAGGTTGTGCAGACACATAAACAATAATTTAAATAGTGCTCCGAATGTCATTAATTAAATATTCACGCTAAATGATATGTGTATAATGAATTGAAGGTTATCTTGCTATGTTTTACATTGCAAGTTAAATAAATATAATATATAAAATTCTCGTGTCACAGTTTTCGTTGGCATACTCCTCCGAAACGGCTTGACCGATTTTGATTAAATTTTTTGTGCTTATCCGGTATCTGAGAATTGGCCAACGATTATTTTTCATCCCCCTAAATGTTCGGGGTAGTCCAGTTAGGGAATAAAGCAGAAATCATATTCTATGCGGACAAAGTCGCGGGCAACAGCTAGTACGAATATAAAATAATATAAAATGTCGAAGGACAGACGCAAAATTATTTCATATATTACACTGTCAAGTCAAATTGTTTTTTTATTATTTATTTTATATTATAATAGTCAGACTCGATGCTTCTGGGGTTTTTCTTTGACATTTTATATCACGGAACAGTTTTTAGTACACTGGTTCTATACGACATTACCTTTTTTATGACTTATTGTAGGTACGTGATTGTTTCGTATTAAATTATTATGCATAATTTTATTTGCTGAGTGACACACAACTTTGTGACATTTCTGAGGTTAAAAAAATCGCAGTGAAACCCGTGACAAAAAAATTTAAAAAGTAATCAGTCCAGTTACTATTTTACCTACCTATAAAACATATCTTCCTATAAAAAGAGGTCTGTATCAAGCAGAACAATAATATTGTGATCAGATTACTCACCAATTTTTCTATGGAATTAAGAAATGGCTTCTTATTAATACTGTTTTTTCTTTATTATCAGGTGAAGCTGTGCTACAGTTTTTAAACCAGAATTGGAGACAAGTATCTGAGGAGTTCGGTAAACCTCTTGTTGACAAAGTTGTCGATTTAGTTTCCAGTATTGTGAAGAAGTTCTTTGAAGCAGTACCGAAAGAAGAACTGTTTGTCGATTCGGAATGATTTTTTACTACGGACTGTAAGATAAAAATCGATTTGGTTGTGAAATAAAAAGAAAATCAAAAAAATTAAAAAAAAATAAACAATAGAAAACGATTAATAAAAACTTAAAAATCATTTGAAATATAATGAGTTTTATTTTGGTGGTACGATCGGTAGTAGTATTAGCATCCACTAGATCAATGAGTCATTTTTGTTGTTTTTTTTAATATTTGGTAGGCGGACATTTGGCCATACGACTCTCGCCTGGTAAGCGATGATGCGGCTTAAGCCAATTTTAAAAGTAAGTATTTAAAAACTAAACATACCTGTAAGAATGAATACGGAAATGTAAATTCACCCCACACTATATCCTTGATTAGACCTGAAATATAATAAAACAACCATTAAAATACTAGTTCTTCAAATTATTTTTCTTTCTTTCTTTCTTGTTTTCTTCTTTTTATCTTTTTATGCTATGCAGTTTTTATAAAATAAAACGACCGGGCTTGTTACAGCTTCTAAATACCATGTTGATACGCTTTATGTGTTATTAAAACTCATTCATCTCGGGTTTATCTATACTATAATATTATAAAGAGGAAAGATTTGTATTTTTGTATGTTTGTAATGAATAAACTCAAAAACTACTGAACCGATTGCAATCATTTTTTCACCATTCGAAAGTTGCATTATTCAGAAGAAACATAGGCTATATAATATCACGCTAGGTCCTATAGTTGTGGAGCAGTAACCAAAAATGTTTTAAAAACGGGGGAGAAGTATCGTTTCTGAGGCCTTCCGTGGCGTGCGCTGAGCATATAGTTAAAGTTATACAAAAATGTTCTATAGATGAATTGTTTATCTTAACATTATTTTTAAAAAAGTCCGCGAGAGCATATGTCTACCTTTTATAGTTTACCCATAACAATCGTTTTAATGAATGGTTCAATCCTTATAAAAGTTTGCTCTAGATAGCTTTTGAATTGTTCAATCGGTTACCTTAAGACGCGACATCGACAACGGAGGGCAGGTCGCTAAAAAAAACTGAGAATAAATATAAATAAAACGTAAAACTATGTAAAAAATCTTAAGTCCCCCCGTGCGAAGTCGGGACGGGCCGCTAGTCACAGATATAATATTAAAAATTCCGAAAAATTGACATTTGTGTTTAATTAAACACATCATTTCCAAAAATTGTGAAGAAGTATATGTACTTACACAGATTAAAAAAATAACACTGTTCATCAGTTATAAGACTCATGTCAGTGTAGGTATTACTCACAACAGAAGGTGTAGGTAATAATAATTATATGAAGGGCTCAAGAATACAAAAAAAGCTAAACAGCTGCGATCGAATGGAGGACCTTCATTCTTTATTTAAACTGTCAAACACCAAGCGGTCACCGGTGACCGCGACCTATTATTCTTTAATTGTGTCTATAAAACCGGTACTCGACGAGTTAAATTGGTAAAGAAATAATAATAAAAACATTTCAAGAGAAAAATAAGGACAGTACAAATAATACCTCTTTGACGCTCCATCAGCTAGTCTCCAATTTCCAAGTATCCAAACAAAAAAGAATCGGCTTGGGTACTTGTGGATACTTTATTAGCGGTGAGGTAACGAGATCAGCTTCGCGACCTCGTTGTCAAGTCGAAGTGAAGCCTTTTGATATTGTACGGACGGTCACGAGGTCACACCGGTATGTTACTGTTTTTATCTATATCTACGGTTTTATTTGAAATTGGAATAGGTTTAATGTGGGGAATGTTAATTTGTTTTATAGCGATGATGGCTTCGGTAACGTCAATTTAATTCTTGCTGATGAGCTTATGACTATTTCTGCATAAAGCAATTATGTCTTATAATATGTTTTTTTCCGTTGTTTTAGGGTTATGTGTTTTGTACCTCAAGATTTCTTTTTCAAAATGGAAGCTATATTAGGAAACAAATGAAATTGATTTCATATTCTTATTATAGACTGCCTCGTTGGCCGAGTGGTCGCAAATGCGACTACCGGGCAAGGGATCTCGGGTTCAATTCCCGGGTCGGGTAAAGTATTACTGGGTTTTAAAAAAAATCTCATTAGTAGCACGGAGTCTGGAATTGTGTGGAATTGTGCGGAATCTGGAATATTGAACAGTGGGTGTTACAATGGACAGTGGCATAATGTGCACCTCTGCCTACCTCTTCGGGGATAAAAGGCGTGATGTTATGTTACGTTATGTTCTTATTATAGAATTTGTAGAACTGTAGAGAGGACCAATGATTTGGACCTAAAATGTTATTAACGCTACATCATGTAGGTAGGTTGTATGTATGATACGCACTGTTACGTGGATACACATGTAAATTCACGTTAAATCTATCTTATGTTACATCGCTCATTAATCAACAGTTATGTGTGAGTTTATGGTCAAAAGTAAGATATTTAAAGTAACCAAATGAAGTCGAAAGTCGTGATTAATTAAAAATCAGCTCATTCCATAAACGTGCAAGTGATAAATGCTAGTCAGGTTTACATGATATATTAATATCCGAATAAACATTTTAATTAAATTGATTGCTTACCTACAGGAAAGTCAAACGGGTATATCAGATAAAAGAAATCTGACATAAACCCGAAAGGATGAAATGTCTGCTCCAATTTCAGTGCTGGTATTAAATATGTTTCTTTTTGTGGTAAATTACCAAATCTTATTTTACTTCTGTCCTTTTCCTCGAACCAATCTTCTGTGTAACTTGCTACAATGTCACTTTCAGTAACGCCCATGTCTGTAGTATTGAATAAATCAAATGGTTCTTTGAAAACTTCTCTTGTTATTGGTATCACTTGAACAGTTGTTTTGGGTTCTGCAGTGGTAGCGACTGTTGTAGTTACTTTCTTTACTGCTGTTAAATCAGCTTTCTGTTGACGTCTTTCTTCTGTCTTAGCATTTAGTAGATTGTTGTATTTCTCCAACCACGCTTTCCCCGCAGTCGAATTGAAATACAAATTTCCTGCATCTCTCTTTCTCCATATACTTCCAATTTCTTTACTCCCTTGATATCTATAATCATGATTATCATTCTGAGTATCCGGTGACTTCACAATGTTTTGTGGAACATCTTTAAAAGTTGCTTCTAAACAGTTGTCCCAAACAAGAGACTCAGCTTTGATAGTTTCTAGATTTTCTCCAGAGTTCTTCGTATATTTCTCGTTATTTCCTCCGTCACTTCCATCTAAAAGTGAGTTACCATTTTCTCGGCGTGCATATTTTTCATCATTGGTTTTCTTGTTTTTCATCAAGTAAATTGTGGAGATTGCTTGGAAATTCTGTTCTGGTACATCCAAGGCGGAGGCCGGTACCGTGCCGCCAACATCATTTAGATTGTTTCCGGCGGAGACCGCGAGCGTCGTTTCCGACGTCGTTTGAATTTGTTGGATTTGCGTCGGAAAAATGGTAGTAACTTCTAGTCCTCCTGATAAACTGTTTATACCGCTTCCTGTGTTCGGGGTAGTTAAGCTCGTTTGCGAGTTGACTCGATTTGCAAGTACGAATAGAATTATAGAAACCGTCGCCATTGCGATGTCATATTTATTTGCTACTTTTAGTTTATTTCTCCGCGACTGTGTGTCGTAAGTGTCGAGTGTTGACTGAGTTGTGGGGTGCGGGACATTCGACGAGGGATTTGTAGCACTTAGTAGTCTGCCCAGCCACGTTGCACAATCGTATCACGGCGGCAACGTTCCTACTGTTCCTTTAGTGGATTATGTGAAGAGTAGGTTTACTGTTGTAACACGCTCATAACTACTTATTATTTACATTAAATATTGTTACCACTAATTATGTTATATAACCAAATCAGTATGGAATTATACAAATACTACTATGTTGTCTATATAAAATTGTAGCATTCATTTCAAATGTCTGCATTGTGTGCTGTAATTTCTTATTGTTTTACCAAAGATTTTTATTGCTACCCTCTTAGAAAGAGTATAAAAAAGACGTTACTTATTTAGAAGTGTTAAACCATTGGTTTTTATAAGTAGCAAGTAGATACGATAAAAAAGCGCTGTCTAAGGTAAAGGATGTAATTTTAGTAAGACTTAGAAGATTAAAACAACATTGGATTAAAGTAAAAACCATTGAAAGTAGATAATCTTTAGAGATTATTTTAATCGTGTTATTTAGGTTACGTGTTATCCATATGCATGGTAATTTTGAAGTTTTGTCTGTCAGCAATTTATGAAAGCAGTACCTATAGCATAAGCTTTTGACGGTCATATTTTTTGTAGCTAATAATAAAAAAAGATATAAAGAGACGTACAATGAAAAATGTTTAAATCTTTAATAGACTTCATGTTCAGCTTACTTTCTTTGCTTTTGCTTTGTTTTCTTAATACATACATACATACATAACCTCACCTGTCTCTCACGGGGATACTCTTAACCGATGAGCAAGCATGAAAGGACTGATGGCTATTAATGAATTGAAAGAGGTATTTAAGAACCGTAGCAATTGGCGTTCCATAGTGTCTGATTTCTTAATCAAGGCATTTCTTACTCATAGTTATCAAGTTTCCAACAAAGGTAGAAAATATACAATATCCATGCCACAACAGTGAGAAAATCTTATAAGTTTTTTTACATAAGAATATGGGGGTGAACGTTCAGTTCAACGAAGGTGGCTCTTATAACAAGTCTAATATAAAATGCATGCATGGTCTTACTCCGTTATTACCAGTCAAGTTGAGCCGAGCCTTATTATCGTGCCCTCGTGTTTTTAAATGTAATTTTAAATTTTGATGCGATTTCGTTACAATTTGGATGTCAGTATTACAGGCGTCTATGAGTGGTGCAGATTGTTTATTATCAGGTGAATCATTTGCTCATCTGATTGTTTAATTGACTTAAAAAAGAAAGAAAAATGGATTCTCTGTTTGACCTGTATGTAAGTTTGTGTGCGATCGTCTTGCGTTTGGTTGAACCGATTTTGATGCGGATTTCAGAAAAGTATTTGCTACTCTTTTTTTAAGGGGGGGAAATCATCGAAGGCGCAAGTCGCCCGCCGCCTGGTGCGACCTCCCGTGCGCTAGCACCAGCGTGTCGTCGACGTAGCATATTATGCTAACACCGCTCGGGAGGTCGGTGCGCAGTACCCAGTCATAGCTGATGTTCCACAGGAGCAGCCCCAGAACCGAATCCTGTGGAACACCGCGTGAGTGTTTATGTATAAAGGAATATTTTATGCGTACCTCTGAAGTGAGGGATCCTTTGTTAGCGTTTTCTGAGTGTTACGTCAGGTGCGTTTCCGGATTCAATAAATAGAACAGCTTTTATGTTCGTTTTGGTTTGGCCCTTATTACATTCTTAAAATACCCCCTGTTATACTTCAAAGGTTGGAAAATTTTAATGATATGATTTTGACTTATTATGATTTATGAAAGAAACTTTTTTCCATTTTGAATGCAACAATCTACGTAAAAATCACTTCGCACAAATTTCACTTTTTTGTGGAATAGGAGGCAAACGAGCAGACGGATTACCTGATAGTAAGCGATCATCCGCCCATGGACACCCACAACACCAGAGGAGTTACAGCTGCGTTCACTTCTGCTGGTCAGGCGTTTTCTAATGTGTATATGTAATAAAGATATATGAGAAAAGATTCTTAGGGCATATTGCAAATGAAATTGGCCAGAAGTTTTAACTGTTTTCAAGTTTTAATATAAAATGCATGCATGGTCTTACTCCGTTATTACCAGTCAAGTTGAGCCGAGCCTTATTATCGTGCCCTCGTGTTTTTAAATGTAATTTTAAATTTTGATGCGATTTCGTTACAATTTGGATGTAATATTATTTGTCAGTATTACAGGCGTCTATGAGTGGTGCAGATTGTTTATTATCAGGTGAATCATTTGCTCATCTGATTGTTTAATTGACTTAAAAAAGAAAGAAAAATGGATTCTCTGTTTGACCTGTATGTAAGTTTGTGTGCGATCGTCTTGCGTTTGGTTGAACCGATTTTGATGCGGATTTCAGAAAAGTATTTGCTACTCTTTTTTTAAGGGGGGGAAATCATCGAAGGCGCAAGTCGCCCGCCGCCTGATGCGACCTCCCGTGCGCTAGCACCAGCGTGTCGTCGACGTAGCATATTATGCTAACACCGCTCGGGAGGTCGGTGCGCAGTACCCAGTCATAGCTGATGTTCCACAGGAGCAGCCCCAGAACCGAATCCTGTGGAACACCGCGTGAGTGTTTATGTCAGTTTTTTAAACGAAGATTATGAAAGAATTATTTTATCCTCTTGAAAGGCCCGTAGCTAAGTCGCTGAGTCGTATCTGCAGCCAATAAGTATAGTTTTTTTTCTTTCGACTCAGATAATGCCAGATATTCAGAACACGCACCATTTAAACTATTACCAAACTATTGCAGCAAACTCTACACACATTCCATTTTCGTTATAATTTTCAGCTATCAAAGAAAAATGTGATGTAAAAACAAATTTCCCAGTACTTACCGATCGGATTTCCTTTGCATCCATACATAAAGTATTTGAATACAGGCGTCGAAGTTGAATTATTCATTCGACTTGTACGCGGGCTCAACGGATACTATTTGAAATGCAATCGCGCATTATGTGAGTCTTTGCAACTGTTTGTCACTTATACAAACAGATTTAGAAACTTGTTATGGGTTTTGTAATAATTTTTTCTTTTAGTTCTTAACTATTAACGTTTAAAACTTGAAAACAGTTAAAACTTCTGGCCAATTTCATTTGCAATATGCCCTAAGAATCTTTTCTCATATATCTTTATTACATATACACATTAGAAAACGCCTGACCAGCAGAAGTGAACGCAGCTGTAACTCCTCTGGTGTTGTGGGTGTCCATGGGCGGATGATCGCTTACTATCAGGTAATCCGTCTGCTCGTTTGCCTCCTATTCCATAAAAAAGTGAAATTCGTGCAAAGTGATTTTTACGTAGATTGTTGCATTCAAAATGGAAAAAAAGTTTCTTTCATAAATCATAATAAGTCAAAATCATACCATTAAAATTTTCCAACCTTTGAAGTATAACAGGGGGTATTTTAAGAATGTAATAAGGGCCAAACCAAAACGAACATAAAAGCTGTTCTATTTATTGAATCCGGAAACGCACCTGACGTAACACTCAGAAAACGCTAACAAAGGATCCCTCACTTCAGAGGTACGCATAAAATATTCCTTTATTGAATTTCGCAAAACAGGTGCAACAATAAGATCCGATCTTAACGTTAAATCACGTGTTTTGTATCCAGAATAGAAAGACAGAGGTGCACATATAAAATTGAGCACCTGATTTGTGACAGTTGTTGTGTTAATGAGTCCTATATCATGGGATGTAAATCGGTGTGTATCTACGGAAATAAACTATAGATTTAATGTTGATAGATTCAAAGATGATACTGGACCAAAGAGGAATTCTTACTGTTCTGTTGTATTTTAAACAGTAAAAAGTAACTAGATAATGTCTCTTTCACACGCATCTGAGTGCACTTTGTTTTACACAAACAGAATATTTCTAGACGTGCGATCGGACTTTTAACAGCGCGCAAGGCGTGTGACAGCAATTTGAATACCGTAAACATCGCGTTTCAGGTCTCAACCATTCCCAAGCATTCCTCTAAAATCACCTTCCCAAACGTCACAAGCACCACTTGAGAGTTCACAGCAATATGCACTTTAAAAGCAAAGGTGTGAAAAGGGTGAAGTGACTTTTTGCGTGGCACTAGAAATGGGGGCATGCGGCCGTTACTGTGTGTATGTGTGTTGAGTAAACACACTGCTTTTCTTTCAGGTTGAGGTTTGCTTGAGATTTTTTTAAAGGTAAATTGACTGGTCGCAGGTGGTTGAAGGGAAACGGGTCAGCGGGTCTCGGTGGCGTGTCATGTTCATGTATCACCAGGGTCGGACTTGACGTAGTGACATATTTATTATAACATTTACGAATTACAGATTGATTTAATGGTTTTGATATAAAGAAACATGTCATACAATGACTATATATGTACCTATAGGTTTCGGACAAGTGTTTTCGAGTTCGTTATTTATAGATCGCGTTTAATCTTCCGCCATTTTTATAAACAAAAGGTCATCAGATCAGCAAGCAGTATTATTAAATTTAAATCAAGATCACAAGTTTCTTTTAGAACATGGGTACCTTCATATATTATACTCTCCCGAGACAACCGACATTTAAATTGGAGTACAGTCGCAACATCTACGTATACAATTGACATTTTAAAATGTTTAAAAATAAACAATTGCTTGCCTTGTTTATATTAAGACCGTCGTGCGACATACTAATTAATTATTATGTTTTCGGCATACTCACTGCTATCGCCGGTCGCGGAATGCTGTTCATGAATATGAGCCTCTAGCATGGCTTGAACCTAGTTGAGTTTCTCGTCAAACAGTTACGTAAGCCGAATTCATAATAATTTAATTATTTACCTTATTTTAAGCTTCATTTTTTTAAATATTTGAGTAAAATATTATAGATTTTATAGACTATTATTATATGCAGCTGTGGACGGAACGTAATTTATTTACATTTTTGTAATTAAAAAGTTTTAAAAAAGTCTGTAGGTATTATTGAAAGAGCACAAAAACCATCGTTATTACGTGTGAATTTTGAGTTGTAATCAGCAGATGAAGAAATG